GTTAAATCTGCTAACAACTTAATAGATCCTCTTACTAAGGTGCTACCTAGAAATTTGGTAAGAAGCACCACAAGTGGAATGGATTTAAAATTCCTTTTATAAACCAATAATGAGAACCTAACTTTGAATTAGTAACCTCTAATTGCAAAGTTTAATAGGTAACAACAAGTTATTGTTATGTGTTTGTAAACACTAGTCAACCCATTCTAAATATTTAGAATACTAGTGTAAGCCATTGCGTAAATGGAAGTGAGATTGAACTCTTAATAGAGTTTATAATTAAATGTCTATAGCAATGGAGGCATAAATAAGAAACTTCACCTATATAAATATATAAGTGGTGCCGCTTCAATAAGAAAATTGGAAACTTTCTTGTAAATGTTTAAGAATAAGGATAGACACATGGCCATAATAGTACTAAAATGGTTATAAACCTTTGACAGAATATTAACTAAGTATTATGTGTGTTATATCTTCAATTTTAATACTAGGAGTTGAGGTTTAATATGCGGACACCATCAACTTTGTTAGAATTTTAAGGTATATACACTAATTGAAAGTTTAAATCGAAAGATATCTTATTGTATTCATAATATTTATTTGTGTGAAAGGTTAAAGATTAAGCACTAACGTTCTAAACTAGTGGGAGATTGTTGGTAGTTTAAAATATGGTGAATCCTACATTGAGTAGAAAAATCACTTATATATGGTTTAAAAGAAATCACTTATGTTATTTAAGTAATTGAGCTAAGTGTTGGAGTGAGCCAAGTCATTTGGGCTTGTTAGGAATTTCCTAGTAGGTCAGACAATTTTAAAAACAAATATAGGCATTTGGGGCATTTGGGTTTGTTTGGCAAATAAATTTAATTTTTTTAAATCTTTATTATTATTATTATTTTTATTTATTTCAGAATATTACTGATTCTGAATAAATATGTTTGAATAGTGAAAAACATAATGGTATGAATAAACATATCTAAACAAAAAATATGACTGTTTAAATAAAGTTTATTTAAACAATAAAACATGACTATACAAAATGTCATGACTTTTTGAATTGGCTTGATTGGTGACTATACATTTATTATAAATAGATCTTTTTGCTTGACCAATTTCATTACTTCTGATTTAGAGAGTTTTAATGCTTTGTTGTATCCTATAGGTATAATTGCCTTTAAGATAATGTTATTCATGCCTCAAAGCCATATTTTCTTCTTTCTTATTATTTCTATTTTCTTAATTTTAATAACACTTTAGTTAAACATAGAGTTATTGAAGCATTAGTTTTTTCCTATAAACCTTACAAATTACCAAAAAGACTTTAAGAAGCATCGTAGCGTAAAGGCACTATCCTCAAGATGCTTTGATTGAATTGAAACCATGAAATGTTCTGCTACATCAGATGGGCTGCCACTTGCCAAACATACAAATAATAATAATAATACTTATCTAGACATGCATTTCAAAGTCCATACAACAATGCTTTCGAGAGGAAAACTTTGGGAAAAAAATCAATTTAATTAGTTTTCGGGGTAACTAGAATCCAAGCACAATAAAAAAAAAAGTTAAGTTCTTTTTCCCTCACAAGCATTTATTTGAGCATCAATTTGATTGCCATATGCTTTATATTATGATAATTAATAACTTTTAATTTATTCATTAGACTCAAGGCTTGATGCTTATAGAAAATAATGTCACAACTAAACAAATAATTCTTTTATTGAAAACTTACAAAATATATATACTAACACATTCTTTATATATATAAAAAATATTGCTATTGTGCCAAAAAATAATTAGGTATGAACACTATTGTTATTGTATTTTATAATAAACATTGTAGGTCAATTTGATTATAATGAATTCTTTTGTGATCTTTAATTTTTTTGTTTCCTTCATAATATAGATCGTATGTTGGCTTTTGTGAAATTAACTATTTGATATAATTTCGTTTATTCAATTAAGTTAAGCTAAACTAGATAATTGGCATGTTGTCTATTATGTTTTGTTACATTCAATTGAGTGGAACTAAATAAGAAAAGTGTTTATATTACAGTTGTCCTAACATACACAGCTTAGATGGCTAGATTGATTTCCCTGGTAAATTTTAACCATAAGATATGGATTGATCATTTTCTTTATTCTCTTCTGTCATATTATTCCATGCTGACCATTTCATTTCCTTTTCATGTGTGAGATTGAACTAGAGATATGTCTTTCAGTGAAAAATCCTAAAAAAGATTATTAATAATCTAAATTATCTTTTCTTTTCATTGGAAACATTAGATATAGAGCTAGGTTAAAGGTTAAGGGCTCAAAAGCAAGGTAATACACTGAATGACATTATTATTTGTTGTCTGCCAATCTTTTGTACATGTTTTACAATATAACATATATAATTCGATACTCATATAATTCCCCATCACGTCTAAAAAAGGTCAGGCTTTTCAAAACTTTTATTGATTTACTTATAATAGTATATTTTAGATATAATTAGCTTCAATGAAATTATTGGAACTTTAAGATTGATGTTAAGTATGAGCTCTGTTCAAAATTATTTAAATTGTTAATCTTATGATTATGTCTTTTTTTTTATCGGAAAAGTTAAAATTATTGCTATTTCGTTTTATTTTATTGTTATATTTTAACCTATTATCCTACATTTCGATTTGTTAAAATAATTAAAAGAAAAAGAAAATAAACACCCATAGCAATACACGAGATGTGGCCTTATTATATATCAAAGTAGTATTTCATTAATATTACAAAAATGTCTCTTTAGGTCTTTGATAAAAGGCTAACACGTGTTTTAAAATAACTATAATGCCTCTATTATTATAATTATAGAAATGTCTTTTGTACCATAATTAGTTAAAATTACGATGATATCTGTCTTATCATAATTACAAAAGTTCTCTTCTTATTATAATTGATCAAAATTATTATAATATCCTTCATAGCATAATTTATCAAAATTACTAAAATATCTCTTATCAAAATTATAAAAATACTCTTATAATTGCTTAATAGGAACTTGATATATGATATTTTGTTTAAAATTTACTATAATAACCTTATTAAATTACACATTAAATTTTAATATATTATAAAATTAATCAAATATGAAATTACTTAAATACTATTACTATCGCTTCATATAAATTTGAAATATGATATTTTATGTAAAAATTACTATAATACTCTTATTAAATTACATATTTTAATTTTTAATATAATGTAAAAATTAACTATGTATTAAATTTTTAAAATTAACTACTTATTAAATTATTAATCTCTCATTAAGATAACCATAATGCCCCTATGATTCTTTAATGAGAGTTGGCACGTGTCCTAAATGATTATAATGTCATTTCTATCATATTTACAAAAAAACCCTTTTACTATAATTAATTAAAATTACTATGATACCCTTTTATTATAATTACAAAAATGCCTCTTATACTATAATTGCTTTAAATTACTATAATACTTTTCTTACTGTATTTGTGAAAATATCTTTCCTACCATAATTGGGCTAAATTAGTGTAATACATTTTAATCATAATTATGAAAATATCTTTTTTATCATAATTGATTAAATTTATTATAATATTCTTATCATAACTATAAAAATATCTTTATGATTGTTTCATAGAAAGTTAATATGTGATATTTTGTTTGAAAATTACTATAATATTTTTATTAAATTATGTATTAAAATAATTAAAAATATATTCAAAATAATAACAAAAAATTTAAACAGAAAAAAAAGTTCACTCCATCGTAACGCGATGGTTGTTTCTAGTAATAGATATAATTCATCATAAAAGCCCATTATTTTCATAGAAGTCTATCACTTTCCATAATGGTTTTGAAAATTATTGGTATTAAACAAAGTCAATGATAATAAGATGAAACACTGAATTTGTTCTTAAGAAAATCCAAGACGATCAAATCGAGACTAAATATTTAATTTAAGACTAAAAACATGAGTTATTACTTATCTCACGATCAAGTTTGTTATTTGTTTTAAATTAGGATTTTAAATTGGCATATTATTCATTGCCAATATTCATTAAAAAAAATCATCATATTCATAACATTGCTAGAAAGTATATTTTTTTTAGAATGACTGCAATGTTTTTATATTAGAACAAAATGGTTAGTCCAATCTTCAAGTTTTTATAGACAAAATTTTGTTCTATAATTGCGAAATTTAAAAAAGAAAATCAAATTGAATCATATATGTTATATAACCATATATTTATAAATTTGTGAATATAAAACTAAGGTAATTTTCACACAAACCCATTTCATATATTTTAAAAACAAAATATCAAAGAATTTCCCTTTGTATGGTCAACCAAATAATTCAACAAATCTTTTCCATCTTTTGGCAAAAAATTTCAACTTGGGTTGACAAAATCGGACAAAGCTCTCCACTCACACTCATTTTTCACTTAATAATACCCCAATCAAAACAGCAATAAATGTATTATTAAAAATATTATATTTGATATATCTATAAATTTTATATATTATCAATTAATTAAATATCATATGATGTTATAAAAAATTAAACTTATTAATTTATTTTAAAAGGTTGTAAAATTTTTATTTTAAAAAAAATTATTAAAATTTATATAATTCACTTGTAATATATAAAATTTATAAATTAATAATATATCAATAATTTTCAGTTAAAAAGATTTAAAAAATATATAAAATGAGAATTCAAATTTTCTTATCCTCATTTTAAGGCAAATAACATCTTTTAGAACAATTAACGTTTAATAATTCTGAATTTAAATTTGAACATTTGTAATTGATTTGTATAAAAATAAATTACACACGTGTCATTTTTGTTATCCCAATTAACACAACCAAACATCCGATTTCACGGTCTCCTAAGCATTATTACTTCCAAAAATTAAATCCAATAAAATAAAAAAAATATATATATAATAATCCCTATTTAATTACCCTTAATTTTTATTACATATAAATAATAGGCGCACAGTAACTTCGATAACTGATCTCCTGCAATCATTCATCCTATTTCTCTGTTCTGTTATCTTGTCTCTTCTCCCTGATTCTCTCCTTCATTTCTCGTTTTTCCTCCAAGGTCGTTTCTTTTTCGGATCAGAGAAAACCCCAAACCCCTTCCCTTTCTCAAGAAGATGGTTGAAACGCGACGGAGCTCTTCCTCCTCCAAACGCCCCCTTTCCATTCCCGTTAAATCCCCTCCTACTACCTCTAGTAAACGATCCAAGGTCCTATCTTTTATTAGCATTTTTAATTTGCATGCGTGTAAAAATCTTTTCCTTCTTTTTAGATTTGAATCTGAGGCTGATTTTTCTTTGTTTAGGTATCTGAGCCGGCGTCGTCATCAAGCAATGGAGCTGCGGTTTCTGGACCGCTTAACGAAGCTCTAGGCCCGCCTAAGGAATCCGGGTCAGACTCAAAGGTAACGGAACTCCGGCCTGATCTGCGGGTATCTGATGCAGCTAAGGCATCTGATGTGTCTGTCCCAGATAAGTCTGCCGATGCTGGTGTGGAGAACGCTACATTGTTGTCTCCGCGATCCGTAGGTGCGATCCTCGATTGACTTCTTTCTTGCGTTTTTGAGGTTCTATTTTTTTTTTTTTGCTGGGTTGGTTAGGGTTTTTTATGGGGTTTTGATGTGGGGGTTTGTTTTGGTTATTTAGGTGAAGCTATTATGGATGTGGAGAAAGGGAAGGCGGTTGGTGCAGGGTTTACTGGTCGGGTTAAGAAGAGGCCAACAAAACCAGCGAAATCAGGTTCTAAAGGGCCGTGGGGAAAGCTTCTTTCCCAGCACTCTCGGGTATGTTTTCTGAATTTTTGTTCTTTATTTTAGTTACCGGCTGACTTTTGGTTCCTAATCTCTGTGTTTGATCGGGTATGGAAAGAAGTTCTTATCAGAATTATTGGTCTTTTAGTCAATAAGTGAAACAAAAAAAAAAGGGCTTTTGTTCCAAGAATTGTTAATGGCTGATGGATTTTAAAATTTTGGATATCAATGAAATCTTACTACATGATTTGTGGCTAGAACAATGATATTCCAATCGTGGAGTGGAATCTGGGAGTTGATAATTGGTATAGGACTATAGGAAAATTTATATCACCCTAAGAGACTTGGACTCGGAATGAACTGGAAGTTTTCCATTGCAGAGAAGATCCGAAGTCATTTAAGGTGAACGGGTGTATCATTTCTCCCTTGTTGGTCTATTTGGCAAGCACCATTCTTGACTTTAAGAATTTTTAGATGTGAATTCTGGATGCCTTGAAATGTTTAACAAAGGACCTGCTGTTTTGGCAATGATATGCTTGGGTTCTGAAAACATACCGGCCTTCAGCTAAAAGATTGTCAATTTGAGGGAGAAGGCTTTGTTATTGTTAGGTTAGGAAACTTTATTATTTGTACTGGATTTGAAGATATTCATTTATTGCCAAAATTCCTCCCATGCTACAAATGCCATTTTTGTACTCGGCAAATTGGCAGGAAAATTATTTTTAGGCTGTCGCAGTGAGGTCTGATCCTCTTTGAGTTGTCATTTCCTTCTAAACCATGGAATGGAAGAAATAGGTAATTTATATCCCTCTGTTTTCTATCCAAAAAGATCAAATAATTTTTTCTTAGTTTAGAAAACAATATTGGGGAAGCTTTTTTTTTTTTTTTTTTTTCCTTTTCTTTGCTTTTTGGTATCTTCCAAAGCTGAATCTCATCAGCTTATTATTTAATCCATTGGCTTGGTTAGTCTTGGGGTATTCCTTTGTCATCTCTTTACGCATTGTGTTCCAATGCCTAGATGCCAACCCTTGACTCTAAACTTCCTTAAGGAAGGATTTACCACCAAGTCACAAGCTAATCAACTGATGCTTAATGGTTGTTTTCATGCTAAACTATTGTGCTTCAGATTCTGATTAATGTTCAATTCATCCCCAGAATCCTCACTTGGTCATGTGTGGCACACTATACACTGTTGGTCAAAGCCGTCAGTGTAACTTATGTCTTAAAGATCCCAATGTTAGCACTGTTTTGTGCAAAGTGAAGCACATAGAGGTATGGATCTTTGCAGTACTTATTTGCAAACTTTTTGCTTGTAATTTTTATTGCGTGTCTATGAGAGTGCTGATTTTCTTTTTTTTTTCCAATGTAGAGCAATGGCACTTCTATTGCCTTGCTAGAAGTTACTGGAGGAAAAGGCTCTGTCCAGGTTAATGGGAGAATTTACCATAAAAATAATAGTTTAATTCTGAATGCAGGCGATGAACTGATTTTCACTAGTACTGGAAATCATGCTTACGTATCCTTTTTCTTTAACATGTCCAACCCATTTTTTTTTTACAATATTGATGTTCCTCTCCCTCCTAAATGAAAATCTGTGTGTTATTCTTCCTGCATGTTTCATTATTCAATTATAATATTTATTCAATCTCAGAACTGTTTTAATTCCTAAATGGAAACTTAGATTTTTCAGCAGCTCACCAATGATAACTTAGCTGCACCAGGCATAACTTCTTCTGTAAGCCTTTTAGAAGCCCAGACTGCTCCTATAAAAGGAATTATTGAGGCACGATCAGGGGACCCATCGGCTGTTGCTGGGGCAGCAACAATAGTGGCCTCTTTGTCCACAAATGAAAATTCAGAGATGTCCACTCAACCTTCTGGTTGTGACATGTCAGATGACTGTGTTCCAGAAATGGACATGAAGGACAGTGCTAGTAATACTGATCCAGCAACTGCTTCTTCAAGAGAGAAAACTGTTTCTCATTCACCTGATACTGCCAATGAAAACCCCACTAATCTTGATAGACGTGCTTTGGATGGTAGTATGGCTGCTGAGAATACAAAGATCCCTGGGGCAGCTTACCCTTTAAGGCCATTATTGCATATCCTCGCTGGTACATCTACTGACTTTGATATTAGTGGCAGCATTGCCAAGGTTCTGGATGAGCAAAGGGAGATAAGAGAGATGCTTAAGGAATTTGAACCTCCTACGGCTTTGATATCAAGTAAGCGTGAAGCATTTAAAGATAGTTTACGGGAAGGCATTCTCAATCCGGACAATATAAAAGTTTCATTTGAAAATTTCCCATATTATTTGAGGTAAATCTTGTGCTGTCTACTCTTAATTGGGTCTTGCATATTGATATTATATAGGAAACATATTTGGTCATTCCTTAGGTCTATATTTTGGGAGACCTAATTTGGATTATTGCTTTTACCTATTCTGCCTATCCACTTTTCTGCTTATTTGCAAGTCCATACATTTGTTATGCCGTAAATGTTGACCACCCAATATTGCAAGAGACAGAAAATAGAGTTCATTTTGTTGCTGCCTAATACAGAAAATGTGTCTTCTGCATTTGTTGTACCTAGTTCACTGCATATTTTACTGGATTTGGATCATTGGGGAGTTCTGATTAATTTTACTTGAAAATTTCCATTGTGACAGTGATGCAACGAAGACTGTTTTGATAGCCTCAACCTATGTGCATTTAAAGTGTAATAAATTTGCAAAGTATGCCTCAGATCTTCCTACCATGAGTCCCCGAATATTACTATCTGGTCCTGCAGGTATGAATACCGTTTTCTGTTAATTTGCCATGTAAACAATGTCTATTTCTTCTTCTTTGCTCTTTCTACTCCCTGATGAGAGTTTTCAACTGCCTTTGTTATGTATAGGTTCAGAAATATATCAGGAGACTTTGGCAAAGGCACTTGCTAAACATTTTGGTGCTAGATTGCTAATTGTTGATTCTCTTCTGTTGCCTGGAGTATGCTTCCTTCACTCCTTAAAATGTTTTGATTTGCTGCCAATCGCATATTATGAAAGAAAGATGGGGTTGAAACTGCAGTTTGCATGCTTCCTACTTCATTTTTTCTATATCATTCCTTTGGAAATTTTGTGCAGATGTTTAATATCTATGGGATCATGGGAAGTTTGTTGGAGTCTATAATTATTGTTATTGTTGTAGATTGCAATTCTACCTTACCAAACATGTAAATGGCTAAAGTTTCTTTTTAATTTGAAGCAAAAATGTGTCAAAACTCTGGTTGGAAGTTCCTTAGGAATATTGTGTTTTAACGTCTTCTTAAGCTAGATATTTGTTGAGTCTTGTTTACTTTCTCATGGTTGAACAATTTTTTTTTTTTTGG